GTGAAAAAATCTCAGACAGGCTTTTTAATCCCAAGATGGCCCTAGATACTGCAAAATATCCTTTCTGAGTAATATTTCAACACTACTTCTTCCCCTCGCTCTAGCCAGGAAGAACGTTATCAAACTCAAATTACCACCACCACTCCTTATTTTTAATAATTAACTCAACTTTTTGCTACTACTGTATTCTTTTGGATAAAGGAACTAATGAAGTTTTCATTTCATCACAATTACAGATGGGCTCTAACTGCATCTCTGAATTCCCCAGATTTAATGGGTGTTTGGATAAGACTAATTTTTCATCCATATTGGTTCCAATTCCCCTTATTAAAATCTAGATTTGGGATTATAATAATATAAATGATCATTTAACCACAAAGAGCCATAATAGGTAAAATTAAAATATTCACAAATGGTACATCTACACAGTTGTGTGTAGCTAGAAATAAACCATGCAATGTAGGCTACGCAAGTTGCGCATCTTATTTCGAGATAACCTATTTCAAATTTTGGCACTTGCCTACACGGTTTTAAATTTTAAAATAGAGCACTATTCCAGCACCTTCCTTATTCCTCATGCAGCAAGGTTTACAGAAAGCTAAAATAAGCTGAGAGAGAGAGAGATTTTTTTACAAAACGTAAAAATTAGTCCAAAATAACTGTTGCCTGGTTTTTTGCAAATATAGTTGTCATGGTTCTCATGATATACGAAAAGAAGGGGATTGGGGGATTCACGCAATTGCTGTTTCTGACGGTTGTTGCTCGCCACTCTGCAGCACCAGACATCAGAACTCAGAGTAGGGAGATTGGTTCTCTTCTGCTCTGAGGCCAGGTTCATATTTTCAGCTGAAGGTCAGCATAAGATGGGCAGTTCCAGCTATGTAAAAAATGTTGCTGGAATTTGACTCTAAAGAGGGGATGTTTAGACCTCCTTTGTTGCTATTAAGCTATTCAGAAATAGAGACCTGCCATCTGTAGACCAACTAGGAGCAGGACATATGGGCTATGTCTAGACCACAAAGATAAATCGGACAAAGAAACGCAATTTGCGATACTTCCAAAAGAAGCTTTTCCAAAATTTGGCCTGTCTACACAGGGACAAATTTCAGAAAAAAACCCTCTTTCAGAACATCCCTCCTTCCTCGTAAAATGAGGTTTACAGGGATGTCGAAAAAATGTGTCCACTTTTCTGACTTTTTTTTGGAAAAGCCAACGTGTTCCTTGGATGCAGCAGAGCTTCCTGGAAAAGTTTTGCAGTCTAGACATAGCCATGCTCCCACACATTCTGTTCAGCCAGGATTTGTATTTGAATTTTGCTGGCCCGAGACTGTTGTGTTTCCAAACCACTCTTGATTAAGGCTGCTTTAAGTATGTAAGGGGCCATGAATGAAAGACTACTAATGGAAAGCAGCCATACACATCATTTTTTTGTTTGTTTGTTTGTTTGTTTGTTTTTGCCACTACAGATCATTTCACCATCTCTTCCTGTAGCTTTTCCCTGGTAAGCGCTGATATCAGTAGGCCCTCCCTGTCTTGGTGTGCCACAGGTCATGTGCATATTGAAGTTAAATTACTGAATGATTGCAGTGTGAGTTGATCTTTGTCCTTCGGCACATAGTTATGTGATTGCTATATGTGGGATTAGGAAGAATTTTTCTTCATGACAGATTCACTATATTTTGGTTTTGGGCATTTGACAAGGAAAATTTGTCTAGAAGTTAGAATTCAGCTAAATCTTTTGCAAGTGGCATCTATTTTACACTTGTTTAAAGTCATGCTTGGTTTTGTCTCATTTCCATTGTCCATAGTAGTAAAGGCATCTGAAAGGCATCTATTATATGTCACTGTAATAGTAGAGTCTAAGGACTGAATTTTCAGTTGCAGTAAGGTCCCTTTATGCTGTTCTGGAAGTATAAACAGGCCTTGAAGTAGGTGCAGATGTAATTTAGTTCTACTTTAAGGCCCCTCTTTGCTATAGGAGTGGCATAAATGAGCCATAGTTTAACTGAGAATTAAGCTATTGGTGAGTGGATTACTTAAATTAGACTAAGGCTTTCAGGCTGAAGATAATTCTTTTTCGCCAAAATATATTATTGTGTATTCTATTATTAAAGAGATACAAAGTGTAGAGGGAAAATACATCTCTCTACATTTAAAACAATCGAGTACATTTTAGTTCTTGTGAAATATGTTAGATGGAGAGTCTTGGAGAATGGAATCTATTTTAACACTGACTAGGTACAGCATGGGCAAGTGGAAGTTAAAGTCTCAAGACACTGCTCTAGTAAAGAGCTCCCTCTCTGACCTAATGGAGCCACCTCTGATTGTGAAAGGGCAGTTCAGTGTTATTGGCCCATTCTGGTCTGGCTGCTCTTGGTATTGGTCCCTCTGACAATTGATACTAAATAGAATATGTATTTGTATGTGGACACTTGTACCCTAGATATTATAGACAACATCACTCATTCTGTGTATGTTTGGCTGCCAGTCATAAATCCTATGGCCAACCTGGGCCAGATTCAAAATGGCCTGGCAACTGGTGGCAAAAGGCTCCATACAACATTAAAAATCCATGAAACGATCCAATCCACTATTAAAGTAGCTAATACCCCTTTGAGTGTGTACACTTATTACTTCTTAAATACAAATGTTGATCTTAAACCATTCAAAAGAATTCTCTTCCCCTCAGGTATGACATTGAAACTATTAGGTGTGTCACATTTTGAGCCAAAAAGAGATGTTACGATGATCATCCAGTTGAGTGTTCCAATTGTCTGAACAGCCTTAGGTGTTATATCAGTAACAGGGATTTTAAAATGTTCATATTTGTTGCTATTATAGTCACTGTAGGGGACATTTTGTGTCCTGCTCTGTATGTTCTTCCTCCCCTCCATCCCCACGCCCCATCAGCAACCACTTTATTTAAATTTCACTATTGTATATATTTAAGCTTCATTTAACAACTTAGCCAATGGTTTCGTCAAATGAAAATCCTTGTTGGGCAGCAGATCATAATGGATATCAGAGATTGCACAATTTTAAAGTCAGTCAGGCTTAAATGGTGGTTAAACATCTCGTAGAGATACCCAATCAATCTATGAGCCATTAGTGCTACAGCAATAAAATTAATATTTGCCATACTGATTATTTATGCTTTCTCTGTTTATTATAGTTTGAAAACGAGATCATCACAAAACTGGATCATGAAGTGGAAGGAGGCAGAGGAGATGAACAGTACAAAGTGTTATTTGACAAAATGTAAGTGTTGATCAGCAGTGGGATTTATGTCAGAATAAGTTGGGACAAAAACAAACTTTATAACCCAGAAAAAAATTAAATCTCTTAATTATGCAAATATTTAAAATTACACCTTAAAATTCTTCTGTTTGAGTGCAATTAACAAAGTGTCTAATCATTTTTCAGTCTCTTGGAGCACTGCAGAAAACATAAATATCTTGCCAAAAGTGGAGAAACTTTTGTCAAACTTGTTGTGCGTCTGATGGAAAGACTGCTGGATTATAGAACTATAATGCACGATGAAAACAAAGAAAATCGTATGAGCTGCACTGTCAATGTACTGGTGAGTGAGAGGAAATGAGTTGGTCAAATTTAGAATGGGTGCTGAGTTTTTAATTTATAAGCAAGCTTCTCTTTGTTCTAAATGAAAGATTGTATGATTTTCACCCAGCTGTTAGAAATAAGGCTGATGAATCTGATTTAAAGAGGGAGTTCTTGAAAAACGTTTCTTATCACATTTAGTTTTTTTATTCTTTAAGGAAGAATTTAGGAATGGAGTATTGTGGTCATCCTAAACTATATACAACTCATCATTATGTCTGCAGTTGGTTACCAGGTTTGTCACCTCTTTGTTTCTCTGAAGCCTAAAATGTCTTTTGAGTCAGTGTGAAGTGATGGAATCAACTACAAGAATGGTTGACTACTTTTTTGATCCAGAATATCATCACGTTCATTCATCACTGGGTTTCATGATAAGGGTGCTACCAGCCATTTTGACTGTATGAATTAAATTGAGTGGTATATGCCTGCACAAAGTCAGGTGTAATATGTCATGCAAAGAATTCTAAACCATTGTGACATCAGAGATAACTCAACCAATTACCAGCTTTATTCTGCAACCAATCTACAGGCAATAATTTTATTGTTTGTATTAGGAAGACTGCACAGACAGTGCATTACTTGTCCATTTGCCACACTCATGTGACAGAATGGGGAGCATACAAATCTGTCAATTTAGAAATGAGGATTACATTAAGGTTTGCCTTTCTAGTGTCTATACAACAGAGAGTGAGCACTTTATAATCTGAGGAGTAGAGAACTCTTGAAGTTGCCATTGATCAGTGATCCAAGGAATGACTCTTAGATTGCTTGTGTAAGAGGCAGCATGCCCTTCTGAGTAGAATTAGAGTGACAAGAGGCTGCCTGCTGGTAACTGACAAAGACATTAAAAAACAGAGGCATTTGCAGTGACTTTCAAGGAAATCTGAAACAAGTTATAGTAATTTATAGAACTGGAATAATCTAGTAGGAAAGAAACATTTATTTTTCCTTCCTTTCTTCGTACCCTATGCTTGTTGTTTTTCCTTTAATATCAACTCTGAACATTCTTCTTGGTAAAACTTGTCATATCCGCTACATGGGCATCTAAATGTGCCTTTGGTAGTCTCTCTAACCACATCTTATCTTTCAGTTAATATACTCTTCTTTATTCATCTATAGAGAGGCAAATTTTTGTAATAGTGCCTGCGGATTCTTATACTGGATGTGATCTCAATATTACAAATATTTGCATATGGTAAATTTTTGTGGGGGATTTATTGTCATTGAGCCAAGTTGCCCTCAGATGCTCACACAAAACTCCCATTGAAGTCACTGGGAGATACCAGCAAAATCTTAAGGCAGTATTTGACTCATAGATTTTTGAATCATATTTTATGACATGGTTTCATTTTAAAGATGTATTCAGCCTTTGGGTTTAACATAATCTTTTCATCCCTCTTAGGGCACCCTGGGCAAAATTCATCCCTATGCAAAGGGCCAGCCTTACGTCAATTCACCATTTAATTGCTTCTTAAAATCTCAAAGTAGGGCTTAAATGGGACATAGGTCTTGCACTTGCACTTTCCTGCAAGGATGTATTTTGTTTGTACAGACTAGTGCTAGGAAACACGTCCTATATGCCAATTATGTAATACTTTGGTGAGTTCTGAGCTCCCTGAAAGGGTAAAGAGCAGAGAAGCTCGCAGCAGCTGGATTTGGTGGCTGCACATGATTTTCTGTGGCAACTCAGCAATTTTCATATGCTTTTGAACCCAATTGTGGGTGTTATTTGAATACAGAACTCAAAGCAAAAGATGTGGGATACACGATCATGGAAATGGACTCTGAAAAATTTCACTCAATCACCCACCCATCCTGCAAACCATGGAGTTTCCAATCCATCTCAGGCTTGCTTCAAACACAGCTTTTCTGTGTTGCCTCTGTGGAGACATTAATGCTCAACTTGCTTTTCTCAGTGTTTCTTATTATGATTGCGGTACGTGTGTATGCTAAAACATAAATAGTGATGGGTAATTTTATCTGTTCTCTTTTCTTGGGAGTCTTGCACTTGGGATGGAAGAATCCCAAGCACTGATGTAGGCTGGGCACCAACTGACTAAACAGCAGTTCATCCAAAAAAGGCCTGGGAGAAGCTGTATATGAGTCAGCAGTGTGCCCTTTTTGCCAAGAAGACTAACAGTATATTAGGGTGCACTAGGAGGAACACTGCCAGCAGATCTAGAAAAGTGATTATTCCCCTTTATTCATCACTGGCGAGGCCACATCTGCAGTATTGTATCCAGTTTTACCTCC